AGCAACTGAAAACTAAGTGAAAAACTACCAAACTTGATAGAAAGTATGATTTTGAAGTCCTGCTGTGAAAGCAGGAAGGGAAATGAATTAGCTTTCTTCTAGATATGACTCACAGGTGAAATTCAGTGTTTCTGCTCCCTCTGCAGTGCCAGGCAGAAAGCATCTGGGGCAGGAGGTTGTGCCTTACTGGAGGGATAGTGTCCACTGACAAGTGTTAACCATGCCTCAGCCTCCTCCACCTTTATGCCCTGTTTGGAATTATTTGAAAAATAAAATAAAAAAAAAGACAGACTCATTGCTTTCGGATACATCTAGGAACTTACGCATTTTAATGTAGCTCTGAGTAATGGAAGCTCCAGTCGGGAAAGGCTAGGAGCAGTAAGCCAGAAAACTCAAGCTGCCAGGACTGCTGAGACTGAGAATGAAACATCCCAGGCTTTCCTAGGGACCTTCTTCCACAGATACTTAGAGAAAACAGTGGTTGTTCTTAGACAAAACTGTAGCTTCCTGGGGCTGATCCGTCATTAGAATTAACTTGACTCTTGCAGAACTCATTGCTGGGTGGAGAAGCTGTGATTTGTTTGTTTTACTTTACCTGTAATGTTACTATTTTGGGATTTTGTGAACAGTTTTCCCATGTTTTGACTTTAGGGATGCCTCTTCATCCTAATGTTTGGCTGCGCAACATACATGTCCTTTTCATGGCGTTTATACGGCTATGGCTAAGGCCTGAAATATATGAGCATCTATAATGAGGCTCCCACAGTGTGAGCAGACAGATTTTTGGAAGTGCTGCACACCCAGTAGCTCCTGCTGAAGTCAGTAAATAACCTCTTAGGTAGATGCATATGCAGGGAATTAGGCGACCATTGCAAGACAAATCTTGGTCTATCATTTTATTTGAATTGTATTTAATGCCGGTCTGAGAAGCGCTCAGTGCTACAGTGATGACTGTGAGTTTTGTGTCCTGTGACATGTATGAAACCTCACACTCCCTCCAGCCAGACTCCCTGGGCATTAAGTACGTTTCAGGATCAGGATTCCCAGCAGTACTTCTAGTCTTTCTTACACAGTAATATGATTTCTCACTATGACTTGGTTCTTTGGAGAACATGGCTGGCAGACTATTTCCTATGAAAGATGATGCTGATGTTCTTTGGGTTCGGATGAACTGTGATAGTTCACCTTCAGTGGAAGCACAGTTCCTCTGTCTATCCTTATCCTCAGCAAACATGTTCTGAGATGCTGCGTGATAAAACATCTGTTTTCTAAGCTTCTTTTGTTGCACCCTGCTGTGAAATCAGCTATCATTTTGGAGCATTAATCATATCCGTGCTCCTTCCCATATATTGTGATGCTACCGTGCAGGCTACAAGGGGATTTCTTCCTCTGAAGCGCTCTGGGATCTTTGGCATTTGCTTTCAAGCAAAATCAGCAGCTGGAGTTGAGGTAAATGATGCATTTGCAACACACTTTATTTCTTCCCCTAGGTTTCAATAGTGCTTCATCTCAGCCAGAGTTTTCTGAGATGTACTTGTAGGGACAGATTTCCAGGCAGCATAAACTGACATAACTCATTCAGGAGATTTACATCCTCCCAGGAGCTTGTTCTTTGTTTCTTCACTGAGCGCTTTCTTCTTTTCAATACACATTCTTTTCTTTCACAGATCACTTTCTTACCATTGATGATTTTTCCTTAACACTGCTTTTACTGATGTCAATCACATCATCATTCAAATCCTGATATTTCTTGCACTTAAATACATACTGCCATATTTTGTACTGACAGAAACATGGCTCTGGAATTTAAAAAGCATTGATCATATTGCACAAGGAAAATCAAAAAGTTGGAGACTGAGAGACAATAATGTGATGGGTTTTGGCTGGTTGGTTTAGGTTGTTCTAGGTAAGCTTCCTTCTTTTTAATGCTGTGAGTGTGAATGCCATGGCTGTTGGAAAGGTCTTTAAACACAGCGTTGCTAGACCTGACTTGGGAAGTCCCTGACCATTTCACCTGTCAGAGACTGAGAGAGAATATCCAGGAGAGGACCCTGGTACACGTGCTCTGTTTTTATATTTCTCCCTAGGCTTCTGCTGCACACCACTGTTGCAATCCAGACAGATACCAGCTCAGTCGTCCAGCCTTGCATTTTTATACTCAACTAAGTCTTATTTCCCACTAATGGTCTCCAGAGCTGGACCCTAATGAGAATAAGAAATATTTCTGACATGTACTTGCTAAAAAAAAAAAAAAAAAAAAGTCTGATTATTTCAGTAAAAAAAGGTCCAATTAGTCTTGTTACATCCCAACCGTGCAATTCTGGTGGGAAGAAGAGGGAACTACTAAATATTGACTAGTTTATCTGCTGACCTCAGGTCCACTTTGTCCTCAAGCTTACTGTCACAATCTTCTCTGCGTTCAGTTTTCCATTATTTGGAAAGGATGTTCTTTCTGGGGATCTCCGTCATTAATACTCTGACAGACGTTATTTTCAGCTCGATGACTTACCCTTGAGATCTGGCCTTCCTGAGACATGCCCTCTGGTTTTAATTGCTTCTGTTTGTTAATTTCTGTTTTTTAACTTCCTAAGCAGGCTGCTGTTCATTTTTATGTGCACCTTCTGTTTGTTCTTAGAGCATTTCTTGTTGCTTTGGGAAATGACCTAGGGAGGACTTTAATATCTCAGTTAATTTCTACAGGCATCTTCATATTTTACTTCCAACCTGTCTGCAGACTGGATACAGCACTAATGTTCCTCTGCCTGAGTAACACACATATTAAGAACTGCAGACCTGTGGATGTTATCCTTTGCTGCGATGCTTTCTGTAGGTTGTATGTACATTACAAAGTAACTCCTGAACACTTTTACTGCTTTTTCAGTGAGCAGGACAACACGGCTTTCAAGCACAGCTAGTTAGCTTTCCTCCCGTATGGAGCTGTAAGCTGGGAATGCAGCTAGGAAAATGATCCAATTAAACAGCACTTCTTCGTAGCGACTTCTATTTTGCACTAATCTGCATTTTTACACAGCTAATGCTAAGCATTCCAAATGCCCTTCCGAATAGCGAGCATGGCTTTAAACAGTCCTGTGAAGTTGTCTTATTTCTTTCTGTTAGCACTACAAACTGTGCCCGGATTTGTGGTGGTTTATCTGCATTTTCTACTGATGTTCTTCTGGGAAAGGGAAGGCTTGCGCACACTTACACCTTTTGGGAAATTTGTTTTCCCCAAACAATGCTATTTACACTGAACTTTTTTTACATCTATTTACATTTTCTTATGATTCTGGAATAAGATACAGATCTATAAGATTATATAAATGCAGAAATTTATTTTGGATTTCCCATAAACCTAGGTTTAAGTGCCATCCAGAACAGGGATCTTAAGAAAGTCAGATTTGGAATGGGTCTGAACTGTAATTGATTTTCTTCTCATAGCAGCCTCCTGTGACCCCCCTTAGATTAAATTGTTTTCTGAGGAACCAGAGAACTGCTGGTATATGGTTCTGCTATTTGAGAAGGATTACTACCACTATATCAGTTCGGGATGTTTGTTTGTTCTTTCATTAAAATTGATGCACTTCTCCCTACAAAAGAGTTTTGGAGGTGATCTGAATATCTGTTGGAGGTCTCTCTGAAAGGATTATACAGTGGTTAAAACTGATATTTAATATCTCAGTACCGATTTATCATAATCCCTGAAAGCCATTTTGGCTTTGTTCCTACTCACCAAAGTATAACTCAGTAACTTTATCACCAGATGAGTGGGCTATGGCCCATCCTTGCTGCCCTTATTCAGAAGCTCTTGAAAGCTGGAAAAAATGCAACATACACTATCCTGAGTATTGCCTCAGCCACAGAATTGGCTCTAGTTTAGAGATGAAAATGGTGCAATTACCATGCATACTGACAGCCGGCAAAGCGCTGACTTTCAGTGGAGCTGACTTTAATGTCTCCAACAGAGGTAATGAATTTTTGTTGGTAACAAAGACTGACCTGAACCTACAGTTAAGCCTAAGTATTACTTTGAATTTTCATATGCTACTGCAATTTCTGATTCTAATAGGAAATTATGCTGGAACATCAAAAGTAACATTAAAAAAGTTTTATTGAGTTTTGGACTTCCTAGTGTAAAGAAGTCAAGGAATTTTCATTAAAAAAAACCTTTTCCTGTGAGATTTCAGGCCCAGCTGTGCACATCATAGAACTTATGTAAATATATGACATTGTCACACCATACTTTAGAGTAAGCCCTGATTTCAATTTTTAAAAAGAGCTTTTTGTCTTTGAAATTACCTTTGGATAATTTATTTTTACTTCTTGTCATTTCAGTAGTGAAATAAGGTTTCTATATTGTCTAAATGACTCACACTTTTTGAAATACTCATAAAACGTCCCAGAAGTCCCTCTGAAACAAAAAAAAAATAAGAAGAATGGATCCTGCTTTCTCACCACAATGAGCAGTCTCCTTTTTCATTCAGAGTTGGCTTCTACTTGATCATCTGTGTATATTGTCAGAGATAATATAATGGGTGAGGTTGTCAAAGAAACAAGTACATTCTTGTTAATGCTTTGAGTTTAAACCTGAGCCGCTGAATTGCATGGCAACAAGATCATCTGCTGTGATTCAAAATGTGCAGAGAAGTACCAATAGAGGAAGAAAAGGACAGTTTATGAACAAATCAGCAACTCCCAGCACACTCAGAGATGTCCCCTAAAGAGTTCAAAGTGCTTCCTCCAATGCACATCTTATAAGCCATTGCCTGTGTCGGGAGGGCAGCAGATGACAGTGATGTACACATGTATATGGTCTTGAGCCGAGGAAACACTTAAACATGTGAGTGAGTCCACCTCTACTTAGGTAAGCACTTAAGCCCATACTTAATGTGCCCCAGGACATTACAATATATCAGTATCTGCATTTGCTACTTAACTTAAAAGCAATTTAATTAATTTATATAGGTTCATGCACATAGAAAAATGTAAAGATGAAAACCCACCATATTCCGGGACCTGGCCTGTTCCACGTTTCAACAACAGTCTCACTCTCCTGCCACCACTCTTGATTAGCTCTATTGCTCTGGCATGTGTCATGTCCCTTGTGCTTTCTCCATTGATTTCAATTATTTGATCTCCTACCTGTCAGGTAAGAAGAATATTGAGTCAGACAGAATTGCAGTAAAATGAGCGTTTCAGAAAGAGACATATTCAGTGGATCACAGGTTACTTGAATGACAGACAGACACATCAAGGTAAATTTGTTCCTGTCTGTCTGAGGGATATTACTGGCAGATTAAATAACCTCCAAGGTGGATTCTGAATGTGGTATATCAAATGCTGCTCATCTTCTGCCAAAATCAGTGTAATGCATTTGTAACTTGCCTCACGTCTTCTACACGTAAGAGTTTTTTTTGAATTGCTTGATATGTTGGAATCACTGGAAACATTATCTGTGCTACACCCGAAATTGCAGTGTTGTGTGGGCCCGAGGAGAACTTTGCTGCATCTCACTTGCTGCTTTCATTGAGAAAAGAGAGGTTCAAAGCACAAATACAAAGATCCATCATTTGACTATCTAAATCTTGGTAGTAAAGTTTCACACCAAATTAAAAGTTTTTATGAAGTAAGCTATTAAACAAAGAAAGGTTAGTGCTATGGCACAGGACACGCAGATTTGCTGGAGTTCTTACAAGAGCGTGCTTTGAACTATTTATCCACAGAAGGTTTTTGCTCAGAGTAAGCACAGCCCCTGGCTGAGCCATCTAGTTAGAGCAGCCAAGTCCAGGGCTCTGATTACAAATTTCTGCCACTCATCTTCTGGCTGACCTTCCCGTCAAAGTTAGCTTCATTATTATTTTTCTGCCCCTATTTCTACAGCTGTAAAATGGGGCACTGATGTCTGTGTCTCCCATCCATCCCAGTATCCCTCCCAGCTTTGCCTCCCGCCGGGATGTTTTGGTTTTACTCTTCTCTCCATGAGCATCTCCATGGCTTTTGATGCTGGAAACCTTCTCCATGAATAGGGGAGCGGTTGCTTTCTGCTGGTCCTGGTCAGCACAGCAGACAGCACATGTAGGAAGCAGCAGCTGTACAGCTTCTTTGGTGCTGCGATACCACAGCTGCCCACTTATTTGGTGAGAGAATTAAATGAGCAACACGGTGAGGTGAGGTGTGAGCCCTGTATTAGCAGCACCACAGCCTTTGGAGGTCACGTTTTGCAGCTGCGTTGCAGCAGCCTCGCAGCCCCACCAGAGGGTGACCAGTTGCAGCAGACCTCCCAGCAGAAGGGCTGATCTCCGGGCGCTGGTAGAGGTGCGGGTCCAGGTGATGGGCAGCCAAGAGGGGTGCGTGAGGGTCTCAGTTGAGGGGGTTCAGCAAACCGTTTATCAGTGCCAGAGGAGCACAGCTGCTTGGCAGGAGCATGGCTGCCTCACCGTGTGTATCCACTACACTAAAATAACAATGCCTATACATCCTAGAGAGGGTTTTAAGGAGGCTATACAGATGTCACGATGACGGGCACTTCCTTTTCCTCTTACAAGCCTGTTGTGACAAAACCAGCTCTTCGCTGGCGTTGGACATTGAAATGTTTTCTGTTCTGTATGGTTTCTTTGCTACTATTGTATTTCTGTCAACTGGAAGTGTAATCCTTCAGAGGCTTTCTTTCCTTCCTGAGTTTGAAATACAGTATTTACCAAATAAATGTGCATAATATGAAATGTCAACAAGACTCCTAGCATCAAAGAAAAGTGGAAGGGATGTCAAGAAGTTATCTAGTCCCTATTTTTGTTCATAGATAGAAAGAATGCTACCAAAAGCACTATGGCAGTGTTTCTCAATAGGAATTCAGACTTTGTCAATAGGAGTTCCAGCCTATTTTAAGAACTCTCCCAGGATCCTGTACGCAATCTATTCTAGTACTTTACTTAACTAAAAAGCCATTAATCCAAATAATACTTCTCAGTATTACTATCACACTTTGTAAATGCTGCAGACAGACTGAGAAGTGGGGGGAAAAAATCAGGATTATTTTCTGCAAAAAGGCCTTATTTTTGCAGTGCAAATTTCTTCCTTAGCAGATTTTCCCTGTTAGGAAGAATGCATTTGGTTGTACCATGCAGTATGCATTTTTAGACATTTTTGATGACCTCCAGGCCACAGTGACACAGAGCACAGGTGCTCTCTGGATCACGGAGAGATCTCCCCCGGGTTTGGCCATGCAGGACTGTTTGCATCACCCTCACTTTTGGAGCGGTTGGTAGGATGTAGTTGCTGCACACACTCAGAGCAAAAATGGAAAATCTCTTACCGCTTCTGTAATGCAGACAGAAGATGGACTTGTAGCTTCCCCACAAGGATACTAGTCAGGCCAAATACAGGCAAAATTCAGTCAGTTTGGGAAAACCTGTTTCTAAATGTCATGAAACAATTAAACCCTTGTAGGAATCCTGTAAAAGTAAAGTCAGATTTTCCAAAGGCTTAAAGACAGCTCTTTTTTGTGTCATGTTGCCTGGATAGACCATGTTTTGCAGAAGGTATTTAAAATTATCTTGTTAGCATGTTTTGAGAGAAGTGGTGCCAGATTAGATCAAATGAAGGAGGTGTTTTTAACACTCCTTGATAAATAGCCTTTAAAATGAGTACTGATGAAAGCTGTGCAGAGCACGTACAGTCCTTCAAATAAAATCCTCTGCACTCTGGAGCAGAAAGACAGAAAGAGACTTTAATACAGTTTAATATGTAAAAAGGTTAAGTTAATGTCACATTTTTCCCTTGCTGTTTGCCTTTCTTCTGTTCTCATTGGTCAATATGCAGGAACTATCTTGTATTAATGTAACCTTTTCTGTATTTCAGTGGATTAAAATATTTTTTTCTGTGGGCAGCATGTAGCTGATCTGATAGTTCCTTTTATTATAAAATCTTATGTGCAAATAACCTGGGAAAACTTAAAAAGGCCAGCATCTTGGTTATGTGACCAAAGGAGGAAAGAAAAACAAGTTTGCAAAAATTAGGTGCTCTGAAATTTACATCAGAAAGCGTGAGACCAAAGGTAAAATGAATAGTTGCAGGAACAGCGGGTTAATTGTGTTCCATGCATTTGTGTCTTGTGGCTGACTGATGTATAACTGAGTTATACTGCCTTTGCAGCACAAGCCCAGCTCTGATTAGATAAGAAAAACAACAAGAAAGAGAAATGTTGCCAACACTCTTACCCTGAGAAAAGCTTCAATTGGACTTTTCACTCATATCTGGGGAATTCATACTTTTTCATACAAAGAGAAAACTTTGACTGAGGAGTGGTTCCCCATGTGTCTAATAAGGTAAAAATTCCTATTCTTACTTTTTCTGCAGTTAAACATTTATAACCTCCCCTTCCTTCCCCTCGCCAATGTAGATTCTCTTATGTCTGATATGGGAGGAAACCATGCTGTATGCTTTCTCTCTGTCCAGACATTCAAATGTGCTTGCTCTATTGTCTTTTCTGTTGTGGAATAGATTTTTAGATATTGTGGGGCTATTTCTGTCTTTTTTAAATGCAGAAGCTTTAAGAAGAGCTTAGATATACCCACATATTGAAGATGCACCAAGGTGAGGCCAGAGGTAATGGTAAGCATAGAAACAGGTCCAAAAAGAACCCAGTGCCTGTTATATGGGATCCTCATTACTCTCTCTTCAGGATCAAAAGTTGATTCCTGCAGTTTTATACCACACGTGACATTTCTCTATACTTCTCTTTGGGATCCTTCCGAGTCTGTCCACGGTCTCCAAAGTGAAGATATTACTAAGGTGGGGGGTATATAACGTTCCCAGAATGAGACCTTTGCCTTTTTGTAACACAGCAGATTTGTGACTCACAGTTAGCTTGGATTCTGAGATTATCCCCAGCAGTATCGTCTAGACAGTTATCCCCCATTTTACATTGTGCATCTGATTTCCCTGCCCTAAACTAAGCACAGTGCACCTCAGTGAATTTTATCAGATTGACTGCTTTACTATGAAATTTTCATTTTGAAATCCAAGTCAGTTCCTCAAAGTCCTTTTAAACCCTCTATGAATAGTGACATCTTGGCATCAGCAAATTTTATTTTATTATTTACCAATAGGTCTCCAATTACTAATGAAATTATTGAGTCGAGCTGGTTTACTCCTAGAACCCTCAGAACCACACTTGTAATTTCACACATGTAATTAATATTCAGGTGCAAACCATTCAGAGCAGCCTTTGAGAGGGATTATCTTCAGTAACCACATTACAGTGATTCCACCTAGAGTCTATTTCCCCATCCCTTTTCTGTGAATTTCATACAAGGTGGTGTTGAAAGGTGAAAAGAAGATGCCTCATACATTGTTCTTCCCCTTTTTCCACAAAGAAATAAAAATGAAAATCAGAAATAAGAAATGAAAATTAGACTGGTGTGACAAGATTTGCTTTCCACAATTTACATGTTGGTGGACTTTTTGATAACTTGTCACAGATTATTTCTGAGAACGAAAGTTAAAGGAACTTTTCTCTATTATTTAACTTTAAAGATAGGGAACACATTTTCCTTTCTCTAGTCTGCTACTAACTTTCTTGTCCTCCATGAATCCTTGGACATAATTACTAATAGTCTAGAAATTACTTTCTCTTAGTCATTGAGCATATACAAACATCAGCATGTTCAGCTGACTTGAATCTAAGTATGCTTTAAGCAGTTTTCTCTTTATTCTGATTTATACTCATTTCTCTTTGTTGATGTAAGTTTATGGCCCTTCTGAACATCTCAGTGAAGACTGATACAAACAAAAACCGGAATATTTCAGCCTTCTCCACATTCTCAGCAAGCAATGGACCTCTTTTTTCCTGTTCTGTATATTTCTGTTAATATATTTCTCTTTCTTACCTTTTCTACCTTCCTTGCAGACTGCTTGGATATCATTCTGACACATGTAATCTTCCCTCTGCATCTAGTGGGACACCAGCCACCTAACAGGTGTTGTAGCATCAAGGTTTGAGTGTCTAAATCTTTTATTGGGTGTGACCCTGTGGCATTAGCTCCTTTCATGGAAAGTGGCACATTTGAATATCAGACCATTATTTTTAAGAGACATTTCAGCAATCTGCCTTCTGTGGAGATATAAAGCTTTTCAGATGAAAC